AAATAATTTTAAAACAATTACTCAAGCAATTAATTGATACAAACGCGTGGCTTTAATAAATAGCTTAAAAGTACTAATTTAATCGCAATTAAAGTTACAGATTTACTATTTAGAATTTAAGTATTTACCCTTTGGCGGCAAATTTTTATTCAACACATTCTTCATACTTTTTTTTTCATTATTTTGTATTAATTTAACTCAAAATAAGGGAAAAGTATTGTCTTTAGCATTTTAACAATTTATGGTAAAGGAATCAAACAGTAGTGTCTTTTATTTGTGTTTAAGGTAAAATGTTCCAAACATGACTCCCTTCCAAACGATTTTTTTTTAATTTGAACTTATTTTCATTTATTTAGAGCTAAGAGAAATTACATCATTGAAATTTCTTTAATTTTTAAAGTCAATTATTGATACACTTTTGATTCAATTTACGTTTTCCTGGATTTTATATTTTAGTACAAATATAATTCCGATAATGTGACAGATTATTTTAGTAACTATTAGACTGTTTTTTTCATAAATCATAATGCCAAAATATATTTTGCTTGTAATTAGAACGTCATAAAATAAATTATGTTAAAGGGAGATCGGTGTAACATCTGCGAAGTGTTATTAATAACCATGTTTGAGGCTTTCAATTATTTTCCATATATTTTTTTTTTTAGTTTACACCATCTATTCTATACCTTCGCGAACTATCAATATAAAAATGCTCTTCTTTTCGCGATGTACATCCCATTTTTACGTAAGACAGTAAATGTTACGGTAGAATAAGCCTAACGATCTTATTTTACGACCTCTACAGTTTTGATCGTAAAGTTTACCAGAAATCTTCACATGATAAACACGATGAAGTTTTGACAAGAGCTCATAAAATATGTTTTCCTTTTTTTCATTTTTTACAGCATGCAATGTTTAGTTTTAATTCCCCAGTGAATTTTGAATCGAGCATTGCAACCATGAATTTGTTTGAGAAGAAAATTCAAAACAATGCTTCATTCTCAAAAAATACTTAATAAAAATGTCTGTCGTAACCGAGAGAGAGAAAAAAGGACGAAGAAACATACGGCTGAAAAAAAGATTTATTTAGAGTTTAGATGCATTCTAATGCATTTCAAATGTAAGTTTTAGAGACGTATTGTCTTTTTTTGCATCTAAATTATTAATATGTTTATATTTAATTAATAGCCGGCCAGGTGGCCGAATGGTTAGCGTGGTTAGCTGCAAAGCCAATGGCTGCCGGTTCGAATCCTGCTCAGGGATGTATCCCTCTGTTGCGTATGATGTGTGCATGTGGCCCATCCCATGAACGGGTTATGTGTGGCGTAGGCAATGTTGTTCGCCACCGCGACTTTGGCCACAAGATGCTAATCAGGTAAGGCAACAATAGTGACACCTTCTATGGCGAAGAACGGTAAGTTCAACGACTGCCGTTAGAAAAATATTTAATTAATATTTTCTTTTGTTTCCATAGACATGAAAATAACAGAAGAAATAAACGGATTAAGATGATCCTGATTTCTTTGATTATCAACTGTATTTTTTAAAAAAAGCTATACGAACATTATTTGCCTGTAAATCATTTACCCCTGCTTTTAAAGGTATTTATTTATAATATTTACTTAATTTTCTTTGCTGAAAATTAACCTTACTTAATTTTCTTTGCTTTGTTTCTCAATTTGATTAATATTTTGTGTTATTTTTATATATTGAGTTTGCTATATTCCATGGTTGTCAGATAACATCGTCTGTTCTTTGAAACCGTTCTAACACTAAGGCCTATTCAGAATATTTGACACTTTAGTTTGAGAGATGGTCTGCATTCCATCATTCAATTAATTTTTCCAAACAAAACCATCTGTTAACATCGTTGTGCCACCTTTCGATCTTTGAATCGTTTAACGCTGTTTTTTAAAGCTCTGTCGCCAAGGAAAATGAAAAAAGCCATTGTTTAAGTACCTTACACTTGAATCAAGGCAATGATTTTAAACTATGTATATATCATCTTGCTGTGAAGAATTATTTGGCCTTTAAACCTGACAAATAACTTAAATATTTTAAAATTTATTTAACTTTTTATAAAAATCGCCAATTTGGCGACATTTTCTCACCTTGATCAAAATTATAAAAATCACTGCCTTGTTCTCATTTTTTGCAATTTATTATGAGCCCAGGTATTGCAGCGTTAGAGTAAAGTTTTAAATATTAAAAATGCAAACCACGAACACTTTTTCTTTTCAAAAATTACGCAAAGTACCATATTTTTCAAACTTACAATAATTGCTAAAAATCGTACTTGAAAACTGTATTTTTATAAAATTCTTCTATAAAACACAATTTCATTCCGCAAAAATGTCGATATTTTTAAAATTNTACCCGACATTCATGTGAGCGGGGCTACCCGAAATCCAATTTTTTTGTAAATTTGTAATTACTCGAACAATTTTTCACATACAAATTTCTTTCTTTGTGCAAATTAAACTTAAGACTACATACTTTAGTGCTGTATGCATAGAAAAAAATTTTGTTTTAGTATTAAAACGAAGTTTAATCGAAACATTCTACCAATTTTTCTTAATTTCATGACTACTGTATTCAACATATTTTCAAAACTATTGTTTACCATCTTAACATCTGCATAAATACTTGAAACTTTGAAAATAATCTTTTTTTAATATAAGAATTAATGTCCGATGGCCCATTGACTTGAAAAATTATTCTATACATATGAAATTGACAGTGGGCGGGGGTATCCGCTGGGCGGGGCTACCCGACTCTCCCCTACATATCATCTTGCTGTGAAGAATTATATGGGCTTTAAAACTGACAAATTACTGAAATATATTAAAATGTATTAGACTTTTTTAAAAAACATTTTCCTCGACTTGATGAAAATGATCAAAATCACTGCCTTATTCTCATTTCTTGCAATTTTTTATGAGCCCAGGTATTGCAGCATTAGAGTAAAGTTTTAAATATATAAACCACAAACACTATTCATTTTCAAAACTTACGCAAAATATCATATTTTTCGAACTTACTATAATTGCTAAAAATCGTAATATTTCTCGTAACTTGAAAAACTGTATTTTTATAAGACTCTTCTACAAAACACAATTTCTATCTGCAAAAAATTTCGATATTTTTAAAATTTATTCCAGTTATTTCAAAGTCAATATTTTAAAAAAGATATACTGAATGATGACAGAAGTCGAAAAAATAAAATAGATTTCCTCTCTTATAAAAATGTTTTAAAAAATTACATTTGAAAACCTCTCGATTTTTTTTCGTATCACTTCTTCAAACTAGATAAAATAAATTAGAGTTTTACAAAGTGTAAATTCATGAAATGTATGAAGAAATATATTTTTTTTCCTGAATGATACTAATATTTATTTGAATATCATTAGAAAATAGATGTGATATTTTATATCTGAAAAAATGTTTTAAAATAAATGTAATATCTTATTTTTTTCTGCTTGTTAAATTTTTTTATTCCATCATAACATTTAATGCTTAGTTTTCAATAACTGCAGTAAAATCAACATATTTCAGTGCAAGAAAAAATATGTTTATTTTCTGTAATAATTTTTGTAGCTTTTAAAAATGATAGGTTTATTTTTCTGTTCCTCCTACTATTCTCAATACATAAATGTAGGAATTTTTTGATACTCATTCCCTTTACAATTGTAAGGATTAAAAAAAAACGCCATGTTTGTCTTCTTAGATTTATTTTTAATAAAAAAAAATTTAGGATATTTTCTGTAACCACATAGAAAAATTAATTCTCTTCTATGCATATCTTTATGAGGTGCAATATACTCATCTCTTTTTTATCAAACTAAAATTGATAAAATTTATTCACTGATACTATTTTCTAGAGATACTATATTTCGGATATATACAGGTGATACTATATTTTAGTGATACTATATTTTAGTGATACTATATTTTAGTGATACTATATTTCAGTGATACTATATTTTAGTGATACTATATTTCAGTTCAAATTTATTCTCCGTATACTTTTCAATAAAGAGACATTTACAAAATGCACTTAGTTATAATGAGTAATTTTATGATGTAAAATCAAAGTCTTTTTATTACAAGAACAGGAGATTAACGAGCATGTTAAAAAATTCAAGGGACAATTTTTACTTGTAAAATATCTTGATTAATTCATGCAATATGACTAAAAAATAATTACATTTCATGAAAATATAAAATTGGTCATGGGCCGTGGAGACATGGGGATAGAGGACTTTACCTCCAAGTAAGGTGACCCAGGTTCGAATCCCAGCGATGACTGATCAATACGAATTCTGCACCGGCTCTCACAGTGCGTACAAAAAATATCTCGTGTGGTAGGTGGATCATGGGTTAGAGTGTCCTTGTCTTCAGGTTATCCGTGGTAGCTTTTCGTGCTTTCCCTCTCAATGTAACGTAAAGGCGGATTATATCCTTCTGATTGGAGTTTATAACCATAATTATAATTAGAATACGTATATCCAAATATCACTTGTTTTTTAAAATAGCTAGTGATTGAAAGTATACTTTTCATAATTATAATAAAAATTCGAAAACATTCTTCGTTGTTTTTTAAATTATTTAATCATTCTCTGAGAGAATTTCTGTGATAGCTCTTGATTATAAACTAAGATAAACAAAAAAGCAAATTGGTTTATTCAAATAAATTATATTATTCATAGCAATCGCCACATTGAAAACCTCATACAAAAATATGATCAAACACTACAGAACAAATATAGGGCATTTTAGAAACATTCTTTTTAATATTATAATGATAAAACATAAATGCTACAACTACAACAGAAATGTGAACATCATAACTAGGGTTAGCTCCCGCGCTTAAACATTTTTATAAGATTTGTAGCAGTAATAGTTCATCAATAATAATTGAAATGTCTTAATAAGAAAGATGCCATCGTTAATTGGGAATAAATATAAAAATAAGATATAAGCATAAGTCATAAACTTACCAAATTCAAGCATTTATAACATCACACGAGCCACATAGGCCGGGTTGTAAATGTAAACAATCTGCTTCAATCGGTGGAGTGGGCGGGAGGGGAGAGGACAGGAAACGGAAGCTGGGCTAAAAAGATGGCTTTTTCTTTGATTAAAGACTCTATGATTAAAGGCTTTTTAATTTTCAGTAAATGAATGAAACTGTACGCTTAAAGCATTTGTGAACGAAAACGGTTCATACAGCTTTAATGATTGTTGTTGTTGTTGTTAATTTACGTCGCACTAAAGCAGCACAATGGGCTATTGGTGACGGTCTGGGAAACATCCCGGAGGATGATCCGAAGGCATGCCATCACAATTTTGATCCTCTGCGGAAAGGATGGCACCCCCGCTTTGGTAGCCCGACGACCTGCGCGCGAAGTCAAGCACTTTACGGTAGCACAGTTTAACGAGGACCAATACCGCACACCCTCGGTCCCTACGCAGACTGATCCAAGTGGTCACCCACCCACACACTGACCGTAGCCAGTGATGCTTGACTGCGGTGATCTGCTGGGAACCGTGTCTTAACGATCAGTCCACTGTGGGACCAACTTTAATGAGTAAAGATATTACATATGTACTTAAAAACAAAATTAATGAACACAAATTTTAAAAATTCGTAAAATTAAACTTGCTTTGTTAATGCGAATGCTACACGAAACTGCTGCATCAATTCATGAAAAAATAAAACTATAACTACTGTATATATGCGATCTATTTCTTAATCAGGTATATCATATAAACTTAAAATTCGAATCTGGGAGAGTGAATTAGTTATACATTCAACTTGGCAAAATTTCCAATCATTCAAATTTTAATAATGTGCGAGTTTTTGATTAATAAAAATTGATCTGATTGGTGTATTGAATTCCGTAGATACCAGTTGATGTTTCATAAAAGCAGTATAATAAAACATTTAAAATAAAAGTCAAATAAAACATTTTCTTTTCAATCTCAAATTAATATTTTGTATGTTTCATGAAAGAACAAAAAAAAGCAGAAAACCTTTTAAATATATGCTTTAATTAGAGAATTATTGAAGTTCTCAAACAATTAAACAAAAACTAAGATCCGAAAAACTAAGATCGAAAATATCACAAGACAAATTTTGTGTGAACTGAAAAAAAACTTAAGAAACCTTTGTTCAAACTTAATTAACCTTAAAGATATTCAAAATGTCTTCAAAAATTTTTAAGATATTCTGAAAAATCTTAAGATGTTTTAAGGTAACATTAACTCAGAAAACTTTCTTCAAATTTTCTAAAGACAAACTTAATTCATCCTAAAGATATTCAAAATGTCTATAAAATGTCTGAAAAAATTCTTAAGATATTTTAAAAAATCTTAAGATGCTTTGAAGGTAATTCTAACTCAGGAATCTGCCTTAAGATTTTCCTAAGAATCTTTGAAGACATACTTAATTCACCTTAAAGATATTCAAAATGTCTGTAAAATGTCTGAAAAAATTCTTACAATATTTTGGAGATAGAGTTAAATCTTAAGGAATTCTTCAGATTTCTGAAGAATTTCCTAAGAAAATGACATTTTCTTAAGAAAATCTTAAGATTATTTTTAGTGGGGAAGCATTGGGGCATCGTCGAAAATATTTTGATGGAACTGACACTCATTTGCGTCGAGAGGAAAACCTAACATGGTTAGCCAGATGGCAAGGAGATTCTAACACATGATCCGCCTACAACTGAGGATATTTTATGTCAGCAACGTGATCAGCGTCGTTGGGATTCGAATCTGGGTCACCTCATTGCAAACCGAGCACCCTATCCCCTGATTGTTGATTAGTAATATTTGAAATAAATGCACATGGCATCTTAAACAATACTTTCTTTAGTTTAAAAAAATCATCCAGCGAATTTATTTTCTGAATTATTCGTGTATAAAATCTGAAATGAAAAAAATACCGTAAAATCCTTTATTCAGCTTTTTTGATTTAGGTTAGAAAAATACTGATAGATATGTTTTTATAAATGTGTACATATTTTAAGACTATTTTTTTAGTAAAAATGTATCAAACAAGCTCTATAAAAAATAGAAATGGATTTTAAAAATATTTATTAAATCGACCACAAAAAATTCGGAAAATGTCGCACAAAATATTTTTATNCGGTATAATGGACAAATGTGAAAATAACTCTCATTGTCTTAATAGTTCAAGAAAATTCATCCCCCTTTTTTTATCGTGAGTAGATTCGAAATCATTCTGGCATAAAAGGCTTACACAAAATTAATGATGGAAAAAAAATGTTTTTTTTTTTCTTTTTTAGTTTTGCGTCATTTTGTACCAGAAAGTGATCAAAGTTTCGACTAGCGAAAATTTTGCATTCTTAAAGAAACAAATATAACTTATTTGTAATAAACAAATATTAATCTAATAAGCAAATATTATTATCATCAGGCATGCAGCTCCTGATGCTTGAGCACTCTTGTTAGACGGAATATTGATTGTACCATAAAAAATGCATATGCTTGTAAAGACAGAAGCAATGGCGGACAACATCCAACAGAGCATTGAAATTAGCCAAGATTTTGATTTTAACATTAAACATAGCTTCATCTTTCTCTTATTCTAGCTAAGCTATAATGTGTTTTTTCTCGGACAAAGTCATTATTTGTTCTCTAAAGCACTGGTCGACAATAACAAAAGCATTACAAATTCAACATAAATATTTGTTTACGTTATTAACGCATGCGCAATGCGAGAAAATATCTGCCGCAATCAGCTGTACTGTAGCAGTTAATTATCAATGCTACATACATATTATAAACTAACTTTAACTAAAACACAATCTAAATCCATTATCTGTTGTAATGTCCACTGCATGTGTCTTTTTAAAAACAAAAGTCATTCTTTTGATTGCAAATGTTACAAACATTTGAAGTTACTCTTTTCAGAATGTTATTTTTTTATTTTGCACACAAATTAATGAATTTATAAGGTAGCGTAATTACTACTAAGAGTATTAAATACAAATCCACTAATACATAAGATATGCTAACTTGAATCCATCTTGAGATACGTTTTGATAGTCGAAAGCTCTCCCTTTATTGGTGACCCGGATGGGATATGAACTCGCCAATGTCGATGCATGGTCCAGGTATCAAAAGGCATCTCAAGATAGAATCAAATTGGCCTAACTTGTATACAAGTGAATTGGCATTTAATTATTATAGTGGTATTTGTGGCATGGTCGCATTCAATATTTATACTGGTAGTTACGCCATAAGTTATGCACGTTGAAAATTGTTACCGCCTGGGACAATAATCTTAATATCTAACTTGATTTGGCTCAACAAATTCTTAAGCAGACAATAACTATGCATAAATGCAATTTCAAATATTCAATAAAATGGTAAGTCTTTAATATTCACAATATTCCAATTATTCAAATTAATTTTCCATTTACTTTGAGAAAACAGTATGCTCTTTTCGGTGTTCAATGGTTCAAAAGTATTTTTGCGTTTAAAACACAGCATAAAAGCATTTCACACGAGAATAATTTTAAACAGTTTAAATATACACTAATTATTTGCCAAATTAACAGAGCTCTGAAAAGCTCAATCTTTTTGCTCCATCAAGCTGACGATTTTCATAACAACACAAATACAAATTAATGAAAAAATTGTGTATCTCCAAACATAAGTACGGCTATATATAAAGTTTAACATTAAAAAATAGTAAAGTAGTAGAAGTAGGTAGTGCAAAATAATAAAAAAAGAAAGATAGAATAACAGTACGAGTATACAAATAGTTAAATTTAAGTTAACTCAAATTAATTACAAAATATTATGTTTCTATGGCTTTAACTATAATAATAAAAATAGTACAACAGTAACGAAGATTAAAATAATAATAATAAATACAAACTAACAAATAATTATGTTTTTATAAACACGCATTAAACTGCATATTATAATTAGTTCGTGCACAAATTTTTTTCAGCATGAAAAGAAATTAAATTCTTTTTCACAAAATTGGATCATGAATATAAATTTACTAATTCTATGGAAAAAAATTCTATTAAAAATTTGTTACTTTTTTTTAGAGTTTCTTTAAGCAATATCGATGCCATTTTATTTTCATTATTTTTGTCACTATTTAAGCATGCTTGTTAATTATCCTAATAACTATTTCATAATTTTTTGGTTGATGATTACTAGATTATATTTGCTTATAGTGAAGAAACAACAGTTGGGAGTCTTTCAAATTCACCAATTAATATGCTGCACTTTTTCTTTACTTTCATGTTTAAACTTTAGGAGGGGGCTCCTGGAGCTATTGCCCGGACCACCAAGTTTTTAGGCATCCACTCGGAATTTCTGAAGCTTATAAAAGATAGCAATTTAGAAAATGATTGCGTCTGTTGCACGCCGGTACGAGATTAAATAAAAGAATTTAGTTGTCTCTGCATGGCAACACTTTTGTGTAGTAGTCGTTTGTAAATAAAGGTAGATTGTGTTCTTTCAAAATATACTGAAGTTGTGATTTAATTACTTTTACGCGAATTAACATCTGGTAAATGGAGGGACAATTTCCCGACCTGTGCAGCTGGTCATCCCCCTGGAGGTCGACCAGGGCGGGGAGGATGTTGCACGCCGGTACGAGATTAAATAAAAGAATTTAGTTGTCTCTGCATGGCAACACTTTTGTGTGGTAGTCGTTTGTAAATAAAGGTAGATGGTGTTCTTTCAAAGTATTCTGAAGTTGTGATTTAATTACTTTTACGCGAATTAACAGCGTCCATCATATGCTAGAGAAATGCTTACTTTCGACAGTTTAAAACACGTGACGTCTAGATTTTTTAAAAAGGAAATGTGTGGCATATGCTTATCCTACGATAAGCATATGCTACGCTGCCTACGATAAAGATATAATTTGAAAAAATGAATGCATTAAGAGCTAAAAAAATTTTTTCGTCACTTTGATAAAAAAGTTTTGCTCCGACCATATACTAAGAAACGGTTTCTTCAAAAGCAAAGATAGTTTCGTGAAATTTGAGAATCCATTCTTACAGTTCAACTTTATAAAGAGT